CACATTCATGTATACATAGGCTTGCTTTCTCCCTGTGAGACTTATTCTTATTCTATATTCTCCTCTCTCTCTCTCTCTCTCCCCCTCTCTTTCTTTCTCCACCCCTTAGATACCTGAAGCAATACAGTATGTATGGGATAATACGATAAATTCATTTCCAATTCACTGCATTATCCCTTGAATATTTTAATGACTCATTGAATGGAGTAAAAAAAAAAAAGCTATTTCAAATGAACAATTATGCCGCATTAGTCTAAGGGCTGATTATATTTAAACACTGCTCACATGGATTACAGGACACAGCGACCTCAGCATAGGAGAGCTAATTTGGCTCTTATCTCCAAATAATTTTACACCGCAAATTACCATGAAAACCTAAAGGGCTTGAAAAACATTCATCAAAAGATAATATTCCTCTTTGTAGCAACATTTTACTTAACCGCTTTGGACTGGGAGCGAAGGCATCTCTGGGCCGGTGCTGTGGTGATAATGAAGCATGGAGAAGTGCTACTGGGTTGTGAGAAAGAGAGAGGGGGAACAGGTTGGGGAGGAAGGGTCTGCAGCCTGGCTCAGCCCAAAGAGCTACCTCCTGCACCCTGCCAGATGTGTGATCGGAGGGCCACAGGTGAGGATGGGGGAGGGGAGAGTGTGGTCTGGTCCCGGAGGTCACAGGGCCATCCCCAGAGATCCAGTGACATGGCCAGCTGCTCACCTCCAGCGTGGACCTCCCCAAAGACAGCCTGGGTCATGACAAGTCTTTCAGCGTGGGCCCAGACCCATTTACACTTGAAAAGCGAAGGTATGAGCTATGTGGGACCCTATGCAGAACTTTAACTTCGCATGACCTAATTTTCGCTGAAGGGAATTTATGGCATCCTTGGCGGCAGTGCCGGATGGCGGTCCTCATACTCTGTGACTAAAACTTGAGTTTTTGGAAGTACTGGGGTTTGAACTCACTTGAGCCATACCCAAATCCTTTTTGCTTCGGGTGTTTTTCAGATAGGGTCTCTCTCTCCCCGCCCCCTCCATCTGCCCCCCTCGTTTTTAAGTGGTTCTATACAAAGGATGTTCAATTCAACAGATCAGCGTGTGAGTACAAAGCATCTTGATCATTCTCTCCGCCATCTCTCCCAACACCACCCTTCCCTTTCATTCATCCATTTTCACATATGTACGTCAAATTGAATATTATGACTACATCTTCCCACCCTTCCTCTGAGCTTCTTGCCTTGGCTGGTATGTCTGGGATTTTTCGGTATCCACTTCCACTATAGCTGGGACTCCAGGTGTGCACTACCAAGACTTGCTTTGTTCTTTGAGACAGGATCTTGATAACCGCTTCCCTAGGCTGGCCTTGAACTGAGACACTCTTCCAAGTAGCCGGAATTACAAGTGTGAGCAGTTATGCCTAGCTCTGTGACAGGAGTCATAATCCCACTAGGAAAATGGATGTCATTGTACCTATTTTAATGCCAAGGAAGCCAAGGCTCAGAATCTCCCATCTAGAAAGAGCAAAAGTTGGACCCTCCACTGCTTCATCTGACTCCAAAGTCCCGGCCTTGTCCCTTTAAAATGGCCACAAATATGTCTGGCTTCTAACCAAGGTCACCTCGGCACTGTCCCTGCCAGCCAAGGCTCTGTATGGCCCATGGGTTGAACTATATCCTCTTTGGGAGTAGGAACCATGCTCCCTAGATGTTCATTTTTTAAAACAGACCCTCACCGTGGGCAAACTTGCAGCAGATGAAAAATAAAGGTCTCCATAAAGAAGCGTTTTATCAACCCCATTTCCAGGCCTTGTGCTCTTTGTCTCAACTGGTAGTCCTTCTAACAATAGTTTATTCTGTGTATTACCATTAGCTGGGTTCTGGGGTATATTAAAAATAAAACAACCCCCCCCAATGATGTAATGACTTCTATGGACACATGTGAACATCTTCAGACTCCGCTACTTCCTTGATGAGGAACACGGACGATACACCGCCTTCTGTTGTGCCTCTCTCTAGGAAAGCCTCTCCTGATTACCTTTGTAATTTCCTTTGTCCTTGCCCCAGAGAGATCAAGCAACTTGCCTAAGGTCACCCAGGAGAAGGGCCAATCACCCCCAAACGGGTTGATCACAGAACCGAAAAGCAGGAATCTGTACGCTCTGCCTTGCTCATTGCATTTCCCATTTAGCTTATTCACCTAGCACACTTAGAGGTCCTTAAAATAATATAAAAAGTCTAATTATGGAAAAAAAATCCAATCTTATAGAAAAGTAGACAGAATAATGACCCCTTCGAGGCCCTTTTAATTCAACCCAGAATTGGTTGCATTTACAGCTGCCAGGGGTGGGGAATGCTGGAGGAGAGAGAGAGGTGAACTTGCCAGTTCCTTTTCTTCTCTGAAACAAAAAAAGAAGATCCTCAGGGCAAATGTTTAGAATCATTGATGGTTTCTAGGAAGATTTTCTTTTTTGGAAGATTAAAAAATAAAAAGGTACTCTTGTCTCCTTCATTGTTCTTCGTGTTCTCTGTCACCAATCACGATATTTCATTCGCACACCAGCTTCCTGTGCTGCGTATTCCATTAACAATAATAAAAAAAAAGTCTAATGAAAATGTCTACATGAAAAGCCCTGAGCACTCATTTCGGAGACAAACAGAAGAGGAACCAATAAGTGTTTCTTTGGAACTGAAAGCTGCATATTAATTGATATCTTAATTAGGCTCCGCCATGAAGATTATTAGTTAGATTGAGTCAGAACTAAAAAGTAGCTGGAAGGAAAACAGAAGATCCACACAGGGTGCAAAGATGGTATCTGTCCACGCTCTGCAGAGGTCTCTGCTGCTCTGGGAGACAGTGCCAGAGAGATGGCTGACAGTGCTCAGCCAGCCCTGCCTGCACTGCAGCTGAGCCAGTGGTAACCCATAGGTCTAGAATGTTCCGTGCAAGCCTGCTCCTGGACCCACATCACCCCACCCTGAGTGGAACAGTGTGCCTTTCTCCATTTTGTTTGTTTGTAACTCCAGCGCTTGAGGGGTACTTACATAAGGCACTTACATAACATAACAGCCAGCGATGGTATGGAGCTGATGATGTGTGCTAAGGCTTAGAATCGAAGTACTTTACCCAAAATAACTCAGTTAAGCTTCAGACCAACTGTGGGAGGTGGAGAGTACCTTTACAACCAGTGTGTTGAGATGCAGAGAAGTTCAACAACTAGCCCAAGATCACACCGAGCATCACAGTGGGCCTGAGATCCGAAGCACAGCAACCTACACACAGCAGCCTGGCTCCAGCGGCATTGCTCTTAACTACTGTATTACAGTGACTAGTGTGAAATATGGGTTTTATTTGTTGAATTAAATGAGTGAAAGAGTACCATGGAAGCCCAGTCCCTACTGCTGGATGTCTCTCGAATTCCTAGGCTTTATGTTATTTACAGGTCTAGAGCCTTATCCAATTCTATCTAGAATACCTCTGTGGGAAGTATCTAGAATACCTTTTTTGGTCAGTTGTGGGGCTTGAACTCAGGGCCTGGGGCCTGCCCCTGAGCTCTTCAGCTCAGCTCAAGGAGAGTGCTATACCACTTGAGCCACAGTACCACTTCTAGTTATCTGGTGGTTAAATGGAGATAACAGTCACAGTCCATGACTCTTATCTCCAATGAACCATCAAAAAGTCAGAAGTGGGACTGTGACTCAAGTGGTAGAATGCCAGCTTTGAGTGAAAAAGTTGAGAGACAGTGCCCAGGCTCTGAGTTCAAGTCCTTAGTATTGGCATGCG